TTTTGACGACTGTTTTGTCCCGGTTCCGGGGGTTAAGATATTGTTGGTGTGCCGACTTCGGCAAGTTAATTGATCCCGCCTGTTTCCCCGCCAAGGGGATTAATTTACAACCCCGGGCGCGTCCCGAGACGCGCCAATTTCGGTAAACTCGAGCTATTTGTCCCTTCTCAGGGAAATCGACACTGCCGCTGGTGTCGAGAAAAAATTCCGCACAGGACTCCCATTCAGCCTTTCTCCCCACCGCCAACCGCCACCCTTTCCTCCCCCCCCCCCTACTCCCCATCCGCCGTTTATTGTGCATTGAATTTAAGAGACATCTACAATATATATGCTGAAATATGCATTGTTCAATTGGCCCAAATCATTTATGAACAAATTTCCCACCGGTTTGCAGTGGAGGTGCAAGTTTCAATTGGAAGTGTGTGGCGCTCGTGAGAAGGGTCGAATCTCGTCAAGTTTCAAGATTATCAGCGTTTGCGATGTGTGTGAAAAAATTTCGGAAAATTCCGTACATTCTCCGACACTGAAGTTTCTGGAACCATCCTAAAATTGGATTGCTTCGAGTTTTCCCAGTGGGTAAAAGATTAATTTCTGGAAATTTAAAATCAGTTTTAAGTTCTGTGTACATTCTCAACGGGTGATATCCAAAGCAGTGCTAATTATTATTTACACGCAGCTTGCAGTTTCAGCAGAACGGGTTTCTGGCGTCTAATTCATCCGTCGTAACGTTTCACATAGGTTTTATCATGAACATCGCATGATTTTGTGTATACTGTAATTTGTTGTCATCGAGTACATTCGCACATCCAATGGGAATTGCGAGCAGTGTGAGTCAGTTAAGCAAGAACGATTATTTGCAGCGTTTCGCAGGGGTCGAGCACATATCTGCGAACGACCCAATATGGAACCAGCTCCTATCTTTCCAGTTCAAGAAGCCAGTCACTCGGTAATTCCATTTGCAAAGCGTGTGATATTTGTAATCTTTACCTACTTTCTATTTATTTGAAGAGCGGAATGCAAGGCCATAGAAGAAAGCACGGAGGATCTTTGCCACGCTCTTCTGCAAAATCAACCACGGTCCAGAAATTTCGCTTCCCTCCTGTGTGTGTTTATTGCCCGCGTGTCGGAAATCAAACCCTCCACGCAGACGCAGGATAACTTGTTCATATGGCAGGCTACAAACGCATTATTTGTCGTTAAACATTGCCTGAAGTACTTCGTTGAAAATGCCGAAGTTGACGTCGTTGCCCGTCAGTTCGACCTAGACAAACAGTTCCAGCGTGAAATGGATGCCTCGTACGGTGGTAACCTACTTGATGCCTTTATTGGTTCTCTCATGGAAATTATTGTTGACGTGCCAGTCGACAACCAAACCTATGAATTGCATCTGGAAGCAGTCAACACCATGGTGATCTTGATGTCTGTTCAAATGTTCATGACGTCTCAGGCGGAACACCGCACATTATTCCAAACATTGATGTACGGCAACTGCTCGATCCACTCCGGAATGCTAGTGAAGCAGTTGCTGACGAATTTTACGGAACGACTGAAATACAATGACGCTGGAGGATCAGTTATCTTGGGTCTCGCATCGGGTCTATGGTCGGCTTTGACTTTCGGTTACGAATCAAAGAAAACGGAAACTGAAGAAGGTGGCTCCGAAGCATGGAAGTCGATGCCTCTCGCCTTGCAAAGCGTTCATTTGCTCCTGTTACTAGTGAGTCATTGCTCCCACGAGAGACAAGGAGTTTTCAATCCGTACCGCCAAGCCCTTTTTTCCTTTACCGCATCAAATTGTGAGTCGAGTGCATTTTATGAAATTTGTTTATGTGATACACAGTACAGTACTCGCTCCGATTTTTCCGCAGTGAAAGAATCCACAGCACTTCCCAGGAACGTCGCAGTGACCTTCAATTTCGATTATGTGAAACTTTATGACGTGTTTAGCTCCATTGAACACTGTGATCAGACGACTGTATTGCTGTATATTTTGCTTCACAAAAATACGCAGTTCCGTATCTTTGTCCTCTCGCGGTCCAACATTGAAAGCATCGTGAGTTTTCGAGAATATGCAGATCTTGTTACGACAAATTAAACGCCTTTTCTCACCCCAGGTAATGCCAATTTTGAGAACTTTGTACAATGCTCCACGAAGCAACCCGCAGCACATTTATATGTCCCTGATCATCCTACTAATTCTTTCCGAGGATGACATCTTCAACTCTACCGTCCACGACATTGTAAGTCGAAAAAAATGATGTGAAATCGGTTTGAAATATCTCACTTTTGTATGCTTTCCACAGGCGCTGGCGAATGTTGCGTGGTATCAAGAGCGGAATATTACCAAAATTTCTCTCGGCGGACTTGTGATCCTTGTTATTATCCGCACAATCCAATACAATCTGACTCGAACTAGGGTGAGAAAATTGAATTCCTTTTTTTTTTTTTTTGAAGCCGGGCTTGCAAAATCTGTGATTTTAATGCGTGCTATTTTTGATCGAAGCCGTCACACTTTAACCATGGTCAGCGGCAGTTTTGACTTAAATTGAAATTCTTCGCTTCAGCAGCTTATGTTTTGTAATTAGTTTCGGTTCTATGCTGGGTTAGATGGTACTGTTGTAAATTGTCCTGTGAAATCGGTTGCAGGATCTTACATACAGAGGTTATGTTTACATCGCATTTGTCTTTCAAACGTGTTCATATTGTGTATTTTCTTTGCATGTTTTATTATCTTCGGAGTTTAGGGAACATTTCAAGAAAATTGAAGCAATGGAAACAAAAGGGAATTTTCAATTGATTGAATTTTGATGAATCTGTTGAGTTCCAGTAATTCTAATTGGGAAGCATCGAAAGGCTTTTCGAATACCAACCGCGTACTTGTTTTTCATAAAATTGATCATGTGTTATTTATTTTACAGGACCGCTACTTGCATACCAACTGTCTTGCTGCGCTGGCAAATATGTCAGGAAATTTTCAAGACTTGCATCCATATGTAAGCCAGAGAATCCTGAACTTGTTTGGTTTTCTCGCCAAACGTTATGAGAAATTGTGTGAACAAGTGTGCGTAGAGACCGAAGGAAATGAAGCGCAAACTCCAGAGTCGGAACCTGAATCGGTAATGTTTCTCTCTGGAACCCGTGGAAGTTTTATTTAAAAACGACAATGTTGATACTTGTTTCAGGTTCAGGACATGCATGTGCTGGAAGAGGTTCTCAGGATGGTTTTGGAAATCATAAATTCCTGCCTTTATTATCAACTCCCGCGGAATTTAAATCTGGTTTATGCCATTTTGTACCAGAAAGAGGTGTTTGACAAGTTCAGGTCTCATCCCACCTTTCAAGACTTATCTCATAATATTGACGTGGTGAGTGAACCCCTTTAATATAAATGGAAATTGTTAACCCTTAATCCAACGTTTGATGTTTCTCATACCTGTTTGCATAGAGATATGTTTCTAACTCTGTAGCATCCATACAATGTAATTCGGTAATTAAGGCATGGATTACTTTTTATGACTGAAGTAGAATACTAAGGAAGTATGTAGAAAGGTTGCCTTTCGTGTATTCAAGTACAGTATTGTATTTTTTAATAATGTTTGTTAATCAATTAGTACATTTTCTCGAGAATTTACAAGGCACTGCATCCCACAAACTTAAGAGTAGATAGAAAAGAATTGGGAAAATTTTAAACAACTGCTGTGTACGGCAAGTAAGCAATTTGAAAGAGTACTGATTCATCAATGGAAGTGCAATTTATTTAAATCTTGGCATACGAAGTATAGTAGGTCAAAGCTTGATCGTTTCATACATTTTCCTCTTTGCACACCATTGAAGAAATATCTTGCATCAGAATTTTTTCGATCATGCCGTTTTTCCCACAGACATTCCAAGAATTAATGTTTACAAACTTGAAGCCTTTGATTGTTTGATCGTTGATTGAAGGCAAGGTTAATCCAAGATTTATTATCTTGGATTAACCTTGCCATTGTACCGGAATATTTTCCCGGTGATTTTATGAGGAATTTTTCAACTACAGTATTTGCATTTACAGATTATCAACCACTTCAAACAGAAAGTAGACGCCGCCGGCCAAGACTTGTCCGTCGAGGAAGTTCAAACTGTGATAAAGAACGCGTCAGTGCGGTGGCCAAAAGAAAGCCTGAAAAAGTTCCCAGACCTCAAATTCAAATACGTTGAAGAAGAGGACCCGGAAGAGTTTTTTGTTCCTTACATATGGTCCGTTGTTGCTGCGAGTGCCCGGATCTATTGGAACACAGATAAAATCTTGCTCTTCAATTGGACCCCGGAAAATTCGAAAGACGAGCCTAACGAGCTAGTTATAGACCGACTGTCTGAAGTGCATCAAGCTAACGGTGTAACAGTGTGTTGAAATAGCTTAAGTGCAACGGAATCTCTTGTCAGGTTTTCTTTTTTAATTTATTCAGGATTTGGTTTTAACGAACTCTTTCAAGAGTTGCCGGAGGTCGAGAACAATTGATCACATACTCAGTGCTCATCTTCACCTTCCTTTTCGCTTTAAATGAGTTTCCGAATCGTAACTCTTGCTCAATTGTTTGAATCCGAACAAACTATCGCCTGTTTTCAGAAAACGTATGCCGGCAATGCAAATTTTAATCATCGAAACACAGTACCTGTAGTTGTCGGAATCCAGTGAGTATTGACTCGAGTTTCACCGTTATCTGTCGTTAATTCCGACGAGGAGTATTCAAGGTTCAAGGGTGATTGGAAAAAATATTGTAAAATATTCTGAAGAAGGTAACAAATCATTGAGATTATTTTCAGACAAGGAATTTTCTTCGTCCTTTCAACTTGATTCTTTTTTCGTTTGTGGTTGTATTTGTTACAAGACTGGAATCACCAGTTTATTTTTTTGCGGTCAAGGTTAGCGCACTTGGAAACGTTCGTTTGAAATTTCGGTGATTTTTGTTGAAATCGTGGTTTTGATGATTTGGTTTAGCTTCTAATTTCTAGGAGAGTAGGGTTTGAAACGCATTATCATTTATTTCTCACCGTCTCAAAAACTGAAAGGAGCTGTTTATTTATTTCTGGAGTTTGTTGTCAACATGGGGCTGTATTGAATCATGAATCCCTGGGTTCGCTGGATGATGGAATTTCTTTAGATAATTGTAATGCTGAAAAAGTCAGGAGAATGGACTGGTATGTTTTTCTAACGTTTTTTTCTTTCGAATAATTAGGTGTTGAGAATTGTGATCATTTGTGTTTTCCCCGCGAGGATCCAAAATGGACATGATCGCGACGCCAGGTGTTGACTTGGCCAACCTAATGAACCATGATATTCCTTTGGGAAAGCAGAGCCTCATCGATTCCCACACCAACTTGGAGCGAGTTGCTGAATACTGTCAGATGAACTATTTGAACGTGAGTTTGTTTTTTATTTTGTTATTTTTGTTACGTGTTGCTCTATTCTGGGTTTTTAGAGAAGGATGTGGAAATTTCATTCATTTCCTGACGTCCGCTAGAAGAGGCGCGCTCATTTCAAAAGTATTTTTTATCGCGTTTATCTTATTTAAATCTGTCGGGGTACCTTTCCAGTTGGGAAATGCTTTTATTTTTCCTGGAAATCAATTTCTGGAACAGTCTTGTGACTTGGTCGAAAATATGTGTATCAAATGATACCCTGGTCAACAGACCATTTTAAGTGTTGATACGATATTTCTCTCAAAATACTCGCGTTACCAACGGATTTACTAATCGACTATTCTAATTAAATGATCTGATAAAGGTGAATCTTATAAATGTTCCAAGTTGATAAATTTCATATAAAAAGCGCAGAATTTGTTTCATTTTCTGAAGCATGAAAGAACGTAAATATTTATCAGGGACAAGAAGAAATTATCGATGAGGGATATTTAAAAATTATTTTGACAGTAATCGTAAAGCTATCTCGGCATGAATACTCGATGCTCTTTTTTGGGCCTAGTGTGAGATAGCCATTGTAAATAACTTCATATTTATTTTAAAAAGACATTTTGGATGACGAAATCCCCCTTACTGTAGGATAAATTTAGTCCAGTCTTTTAACTGATGGATTAATGTGTTCCAATTCTTTTACACATTTTTTTGCACACGTCGCGAGAATACGAAAATAATTTAACTATTGAATGTTTTTTGTGGGAATTTGAACGATTGCAGCGGCCAGCTTTGAGTACATTTTATTTACGAATAAGCATATGAATTTTATCTTTGAATAACCAGTGGTTTTGAAATTTGAAAAATAAATTTGATAGTCATTGTTCAAGGTTGGTATGAATTTTTACAGATGCCCAAAGAGAGAAAATCAGCCGCCCTGACGGAAACCAAAAATTACACGGTGCAGTCCTTGGCTAGCGTGGCCTACCAGATCAACTCCCTGGCGAACAACTTCCTGCAGATGTTGGATCTACAGCAAGCACAATTGGCACACATGGAATCCCAGGTTACCCACATTGCTCAGCAAGTCAACATACACAAGGAGAAGGTGGCCAGGAGGGAGATCGGCGTTTTGACAGCCAACAAAATTTCCAATCGACAATTCAAAATCATCGCCCCCGCAAACCCCGAGCGACCGATCAAATACGTGCGGAAGCCCATCGATTTTTCTTGTGAGACGTTCTCCAATGTCTTTGGATTCTAAATTTTCCGGAGATCAATCTGGGGATTTATCTCATGCAAAACTGTAATGGATTTTGTGTTTTAACTGATGGTGATTCTGGAGTTTCGGGATTTTTGGATGGTTACTTCAGATTTCTAAAATTGCCGACTTTCTTTTCAGGTTCACGATAGACTATTTGAATCGTGTGTGCTTCAGCATTTCGAGAACCCTGAAAATGACGCTGCCTAGTTTTGAGAGACAAAGTTCTTGTTGAAATTTCCTTCAGCTTTTTCAATTCGACGTACTACTACCTGCTTTTCGAAAATTTCAAAGGTATCGCCGAAATCACAAACCAGACAAGAATTACCCATTCATAGTTTTTATGTTAATCAAACCCGACCTTTTTGGGTGAAAGGTAACGAGACTGAATTACTGTACTGAACAATATCGCTCAAATTAAGCTTTCTACGTAATGAGAAAAATGCAGCGTGTCTATTTTTTTTTATTATGCATATTATTTTAGACCTGTCGATTGAGTTGGTTGACATTGGTTTTTTTTCAATTTTCTTCTAGCGTTGGATCACATCGGACACGGAGTAAGAATGCCGGGTTCTCGAAGTGCTCAGAGGATGAATTCGACGGGTTCTTCTGGAATGGGTGCAGGTCCTGCTCCTCAAAGTAAACCACCCACTCCGCCCATGAGTGGGATGCGCCCGGGGTCCCAGACTTCATTGTCAGCCTCTTCAACGGGCACCCTGGGTAAAAGGAGCGACTACCGAGCCCTTCCAGTCGTTGCTCCCCAGGTTTGCGTTTTGAATATTTCGAAGTTTTTTTTTTTTTTTTCGACGAAGAAGTACAGTACGGGAAATTATTATGATTGGTGATATTCTTCACCTTAAATTGCTTGGCTGAACTTGGGATTTACGTGTGGAGATCCATTCCCCCTACTGAACTTTTCTGGCGCCTTTCCAAAATTTATGATCGGTTCACTTAATCAATTTTAGTCAATCGTAATTTTCTTTCGGGGAAATAAGAAAACTCGGGGACAAATTAAAGATACATGAGGACGGATTTTTTCAACTCTTCCACACGTCGTTGCAACAGGTGCCGAGTCATTATGCGCCAAATTACCCACGTCGAAGCGGGGGTTATTCTAGTTTGCCGCTGACTGGCCCTGGGGGTCCACAAGACCCGTACCAGTCTGGCATGATGTCAATGCAGCAGCAAGGACAGTATGCCCCGGGTGGAATGCAGTTGCATTATCAGCAACAGCAGCAGCAACAACAACCAGCTTCTGGTCAGAGCATGTATGCGCAGTTGCCACAGTCATCCACATCTTCGAGGGGCTCTGATTACGCTAGTGCGAGAATCAGCTCTCAGTCTGGTGAGTGATTTTCCTTTCATCAACTTGATTTTTTGAGTGATAGCTGAAAATGATTGTGCCTTACTTTGAGAGAAAAAATTGGCTTTAGAATATCCGACTTTCAGTTTTTGAAAGTGGTGAATAAAGTGGATTGTAAACTTAATTTCTACGGATTTATTTGCGAGGGAATAAGTAATTTTTAAAGCGTAAGTCTCAATGATTTTGATTAATTACTTAGCCCCTAATAAAGAAGAGTTGCTGGCAAAGCCAACGCACTCTATCTCTTGCTTCATACTTCAAAATGGCCCAAAAATGTGCCCATTTTAAATTGACTATCCAGAAAAACTGTTATAATTCTGGCCTCGATTAACGATGCATTCGAATGAACTAATCCGACATTTTATTGCATGGAATGAAACAAGGCGGACCTGTATAATTTCAATTTGAGACGCTTTATTTTCGTTGAATCAACTAACTATCTGGGCTAATGCACTTTCAGACTTGTCGGAAATACTACGGTATTATTTTGTGTCTTCGTAAAATAATTATTCATCTCTTTGGGATGCAACTGGTTATTTTATCATCCCTGATGTTCGTTTATCTCGGCGAACACAGACCCAAAAATTGAAGATTTACTTCACAGTAAATACAGTACTGTGATTCAGGATTATCTTTCCTTCTGTTCAAATAACTTCCCTCGGCGTGCATACAATTCTCACAATCAATTCCGAGAAACGCTGAGCGTTTCTCGGAACGCTGACAATGTTCAGATTAGGTAAATCCCACGGTTTTTTGTGAACGCATTATCCGATTGTTTGGCCGCAGACGCATTCCTTGCATTTGTGAATAAAGGATTACGTGTTCAACAAAAATAAAATCAATGTTATCTTGTACCTTCCGTCTTAAGAGCAGGGATTCGTGTATGTGGAAGAGAAAAAAGTTCAATTTTCTTGAGCTTCCAAAATAATTTTTCTTCTTTTTCGTGAAATAAACTTCAACAAAGGTTGTGCAATCTTTTGCATTTATACGTGTGATGTATCTCGTTTTTCTGATTGTTTTAGGAAATTTTTTATTACCGGCATTCATTTTATTGTTTACCGATTTCAACTTGGAGGCGATCCTTTCTTGAAACTTCTGGAAAATTCTCACGGCCGTCCACCCTTTATTGGTTATTTTCCATGTATTTTAAGGCCAGCTTTTGTGCAATTAATGATACATTCAATGAGCCTCACCGCTTTTTTGTTAGGCCCATTAATTCATGATTTCCTATATGCTTTGCTCGAAATTGAATCTTCCGAAGAAAGTAAGGAGGAAATGTCATTTGAAGTTCTTGACTCAAGTTTATTCATTATAAATATTTATTTTTATATCTTTATTTTATTGTTTCAAGGTGGGCCTCCGAGTCCTGTGCCGCAGGGCATAATCCAAGCTCCAGCAAATGGGAAGTCTTCCGAGTACAGTGCATTCGATCCAGCAAAAATCAACCGGCAAAACCAAATGCAATATCAACAGCCACAATTCACGCGGCAGTCGTCCATGAGCACTGATCCCAGAATGTCGACTGCACCCCGGAACATGACGAGGGAACCCGAATGGGCCCCTGCCGCTTATATCGAAAAAGGTTTGCGCTGCTTTTGTGAATGAATCATTCTCGATGAATCATTTCGATTCATCGAGGGATGAATTGGTTCAAATTTTTCATGTCGATTTTTCGTGAAAATGTTTCCAAACGCCGTATTTCTTGAATATTATTTATTATACCGAGATTTTAGGAACCATTGTATCTGCGGAAGTACAGCATTGAAAGATTTCCTTAGCGTTCTTTCCGATGTCTGTATCAGCCGCAGCGAGAGACGCAAACAATGTTTTTTACTCGCTTTATTTCTTGTAACAAATTTTTAAAGACGTCTGAGGACATCCGAAGAGTTAGGAAAGTACTGTACCCTACTAGGATTTCGTAAACTTTGGACCCGAAAAGATAGACGGACTTGGAAAATTTCATCCGGAACAAACGGAGCCACCCCATTCAAAAATTTTAATTGAAATGTAATCTATTGATTCATGGAAGTTTTTTTCCGAAGCCAGTTGAAAAAAAGAAGTTTCTTTTGTTATTGTATCTTTTGATGACGAAATCGTGAAGTTACTACGAATTACTTTCGTTTTTAAATAGTGTATTGTATTCCGAAAGTTCTCGAAAATTATCTACTATTCAAAACACAAAGCGGCAAACGAAACTTCTTTCCTGGCTCCTATGAAGGTTTTGATCGACTGTCTAAATGCAATAAATAATCCGGTTTCAGTGATCGCGGTGTACGACTACGTGGCGGACAAAGAAGACGAGCTGTCATTTCAAGAAAACGCAGTCATATTTGTGGTGAAGAAGAATGATGATGGATGGTGGGAAGGAGTCATGAACGGAGTCACCGGGCTCTTTCCTGGCAATTACGTGGAGCCATGCATGTAGGAAGGACTTTTTCGAAGTCAAAGTATTGGAATGGAAAAAGAAGAAACTCGTCGTTTTTCCTCTTTTTACCGATCACGGAAAATAATTTTGGGAACAAGTTGAATTCATTAGCTCTTTGTGCTACACGTCTTCGAGTGTGCAACGCACGGGCTTTTTTTTCCAAGTGTCGAGCTCATTAAACCCTTGCATAGCAAACTCATTTTTATGCCGAATATTTGTTGCGGAACTCGGTATTTTATTTCTTCATTGATGTATAATTTATGTTGGACACGTCTTCGTGATCGCTACGCAATGGTTTGGTGTGCTCCAGCATTGATTATGGAAGATCTTCGTGGAAAGATGATGAGGAATATATTCTGATTCTATGCTTTTTCGTAAACCATGATTTTTCATTTGATTGTTGATTGCGAAATAATTCCCTCGACGCCTCCCTGTCCATTAACTTCGAGTGTCTGATTTTTTACTTACTGGTTTACTTCTGTTTATTTTCTTAGTCTGTCTTTTCATTGGATTATGTTTCTCCCTACTTCGATCAATAGCTTTCTAGAATTTTATTAATGGTGATCGTTGTTTAATTTGTTATTTCGCCGCAATGATTATCTTTTGCAAGGAACCATCATCGTTTCAAGCATGTGATGATCTTCATTTCTTTGAATTTTTTCTTCAGATTCGACGCGCATGTGAAGTGAATTCGCTTCGATCAGTGTGTTAGAGAGCGAAAGTGGGTCTTTCGGCAAACGGTGTTTCTCGATTGTGCATGCCCGGTGATTTTCCATGAATTCATCGTTTCCGGAAAACGAAAAAAAGGAAGTGGCGTTCAAGGTTATTTTATTCCCTCCAAATCTGACGAATAGCCAGTGATTTTCGGGTTTAAAGATGGGCTCTGAGGAAAATAAGGATGAAAAGAAAGACTTCGGCGGTTTCGATGTGGAAGGTGCTTATGGTGGACGCAAGACATTAGCGGAGAAAACCGCTGAAAATCCGCTGGTGCCGATCGGTATTGTCATTCGAATCATATTTTCCTGCTCATTACATGCTGTAATTTATCAACAGATAGGGGTCTTAAGTTGTGATATCAACTGTAGTTCGTTTTTATGAACTGCTGTATGTTTCGTTTTCCTGAGGTTTTTTCGGGATTGAAAGAAAATGCTGATCCAGTGATTGATTTTTTTTTCTTTCAGTGTCGTTTCTTTATAATGTAAATATTATATTGGACATCCATGACCAGAGAAATCTGGGGAACTAGTTTTAAATCTGCTTTGGATAACGTCCTATGAGTTAATGGGAACTCTGATGACTTGAAAACACCCTCGTTTAGTTCGCTCCAATCCTCGACTGAGATTGTGATCTACAGTATAGACATATTTTTTTGGTCATGTCCCGGGAAAATTCTCCCCTTCCCGTTTTGCAAAAAACTAGATCTTTGTGATGTTTACGAGAGGCAGTATTAAAAGTTTGCGCATGGCCTGCCGTTTCTTTTGAAAACTAAATTACTGTATTTTTACAGGCGTGTTGATGAACGTAGTTTTCTAGATTTCTGAGCAGTCGGAATTGCTATTTTTCCAGAAAATATTTTTTTTGAATTGACTGCGAAATTATGTTCTAGGTCAGGTATTCCCAAATCTAGAAATCACGATGTCCAACGTGACTCTTCTGGGCATTTCCAGCAATAATCCGTTCTTGCCAGCTTCGACCCCCGCTCCCCCTGACGTCCAATATTTCTGTAATTTTTGAGGACGTGCAAAATCAATTTCCGACATTTTTTTTTAATGTCCATTCAAGAAAAATGTGCGAAGAAAGAAGAAACTAACTTGACCAAAAATAAATTAACTTAACCTGAACTAAGCTAAAATAAAATAACCGAACCAGCCTGAAAATAAAATAAAAATACCCCGCTTTTTAAATAAATGGCAAGCCAAGTGCAGAAATGAGTAAATATTGACCCGCGTAATCTTCTTTCGTGTGTTGCGACAGTTTCCCGTATTAAATTCGAATTTTAGGCATCGGTGGTGGAGCCTTGGCGGTTCTCCTTGCCCTCGGGGGATATCGCAAGAAAGACCCAAACATGAAACCCTCTGTTTATGTGATCCACACCCGTCTAATGGCTCAAGGCCTAGTGATTGGTGCTATGTTTGCAACCATGGCGATGCAGTTGTTCAAGAACATCCGCAAGGAGATCCAGTCGCGGAAAAATGATTAATCCTTTTGCTTCAACCTCTTTTCCTTCCGTGTGTTTTTAATGTGAAAAGAAGACAAAGATTTGTGACGTGACGCTCGTTTGATCGGTTCAGCTGTGACCCCGTGCCATTTTTCAGTGTATCTTCCGTGATGTCTTCTGCGTCGAGACCCGATGTCGTCTTGGTTGAGGATGAGCCTTCCGATAAATTGTGGCGTAAAGTCATGGAAGCTCCTTTGGTTCCGATAGGTGAGGCATTTTTTGTCCTGCTTTGAATTAACAGTGGAGCCCCGCCCCGACATACGGGCGATTCGACTTATGGACACTTGAAACTCAAAAAATCTTCCCCAGCATTCAGAGAACGTCTCGAAATACGGAAACTTCCAATATTTTCCAGAAAATTTTGATTTTTACAAGTCTCGAAGAAAGTGAGTTATTTATTTTCACTGAGATTAAAAATCAATTTCATCATAATTTCGCTCTAATTCATAGTACGAAAAGGATTTTTTTGTTTATTTTTCTAGAGTATTTTTCCATCATATGAGCAAAATATAACGAGACTTGTGCTTGCTGAGTAGTCAAACCTGATAGTTGATCTGATCTTGGTTCTTCCCTCAGAATCTGAAATCCCATTTCTTGCTAGTCATTTGCTTTCGCAAAAAAAAGTAAAAAAAAAAAATAGGTGGAAGTTCTTTTCTGGCATTGAAAGGCTTAACCTTGTGTGGGCCTTGAAAAAAATTTTGTGCTTGGGTTTGTGTTGGGGTGAATTGACTTCATGATCCGGAGCTTAATTTGATCTCACGGATTTCGTTGTTGGATTAATTGACGACATTTACCCAAAATCTGGGCCTTCAATCACGTATATTTCGAGAAATAGTTTTTTTTAATTAGAAAGAAAAATTTATATTTTACTAACCCTCAGGAATAACTGGTGGAATAACGGCATTGCTCGCCTCTGCCATCTCCTACCGCAGCAAACACAAGGACATGAAGACAAGCGTGTACTTGATCCATACACGGTTAGCCGTTCAAGGCATTATCATCGGTACTTTGGCCGGGGGAGTGATTTATCATTTATGGACTGATCACATGTCACCTTATATACGCAGCAAAATCAGCAAGTGATCCTGTTGTCGTTTCGGAAACCGCGGTGAACGTTGCCCTTTTGCGAAGAAATTGCGGCTTTTTCTTTACTAAATTTAACATTTATTTCCCGAGAATAATTTAAGGTCATTGGCTAAGTGGAAATTACGAATTATCGCAGCCACAGCGTCAAGACGAGTTTATTTCTTCGTTTCGTTTTTCCTTACTTTTCGTGAGAATTCGTAATTTATTTACAGGAAGCACGAATGCCAGACTTTCGAGGAGCATCGTTGTCGGAAATACAAACGTTAAAAGCAAATGAGTCTTAATTTGGAAGATATTGTGTTTTTACTCCTGGAAACATTTGGAAAGCAACTGCATACAATACAATCAGGATTTATCAAATTACATTTGATGTATTTCAACAGGTGGAATAAATAAAACCACATCAGTAAGGTTATCATTTTTTATCTTTTTTTGCATCCATTTTCTTATTGGGCGGTCTTCTTGAATATTTTAACATATGTTCTTTCCTTCCCAAAAAATCTAAAGTCTGCCTTTTTGACCCGAAATTGGTTGCCAAACGCGTTTCTTTCCGAAAAGAAATCGAAGTGCGATCTTTCGCTGAGTAATTTGAGTTTATTTATTCAAAAGCACGTTTGATGTAATAAAAAGGGAAATGTAAAATTTAGATCAAGTCGTCACAGTCTGTATAATTTAATATACTTTATAAGCAGAATTAATTTATTCTCACGGCTTCGTCCACTTCATCTTTCCTTCATTTTCTAACCTAGGATACGAAAAAGCCGTCTTTTTCACGGAAGGGCATCGTTGTCGAAAGAAAGGAGTTGTACTCAAAAGAAATCCAGCTTTTAGTACCTGGCGTTTCGAAAGCGCAGCGAGACGAACAAAATAAAATTCGCATTTTATTTTTAGCGGCGAGAAGTACTTTTTAAATTTACCTATTCTGTCTCGATCATCCTGCGAACGAAGAATAGCTTCTCTTTGCGAGCTATTGACGGCCCGGGACCGACCGGGGGAGTGATTTATCATTTATGGACTGATCACATGTCACCTTATATACGCAGCAAAATCAGCAAGTGATCCTGTTGTCGTTTCGGAAACCGCGGTGAACGTTGCCCTTTTGCGAAGAAATTGCGTCTTTTTCTTTACTTGAAAGAATTCAACATTTATTTCCCGAGAATAATTTAAGATCATTAGCTGAGTGGAAAATACGAATTATTGCAGCCACAGCGTCAAGACGAGTTTATTTCTTCTTTTCGTTTTTCCTTACTTTCGTTAGAATTCGTAATTTATTTACAGAAAGCACGAATGCCAGAGTTTCGCAGAGCATCGTTGTCGGAATTCCAAACATTAAAAGCAAATGAGTTTTAATTTGGAACATATTGTGTTTTTACTTCTGGAAGCATTTGGCTGCATTAAAATACAATCAAATTACATTCGAAGTATTTCAACAGGTGGAATAAATAAAACCACATCAGTAAGGTTATCATTTTTATCTTTTTTTGCATTTATTTTCTCATTGGGCGGTATTCTTAAATATTTTTCACATATGTTCTTTCCTTCTCAAAAAATTGAAAGTCTACGTTTTTGACCCGAAATCGGTTGACAAACGCATTTCTTTCTGAAAAGAAATCAAAGTGCGATCTTTCGCTAAGTAATTTGAGTTTATTTATGCCTAAGCACGTTTGGTGTAATAAAAAGGGAAATGTGAAATTTAGATCAAGTCGTCACAGTCTGTATAATTTAATATACTGTGTGAACAGAAATAATTTATTCTCACGGCTTCGTCCACTTCATCTTTCCTTCATTTTCTAACCTAGGATACGAAAAATCCGTCTTTTTCACGGAAGGGCATCGTTGTCGAAAGAAAGGAGTTGTACTCAAAATAAATCCAGCTTTTAGTACCTGGCGTTTCGAAAGCGCAGCGAGACGAAACCCGGAACAAAATAAAATTCGCATTTTATTTTTAGCGGCGAGAAGTACTTTTTAAATTTACCTATTCTGTCTCGATCATCCTGCGAACGAAGAATAGCTTCTCTTTGCGAGCTATTGACGGCCCGGGACCGAGCTTTAGTTTTTTTTTTTTTTTTCCTGGCATTGGTTACCTCGGATGACGATGACATGTTTTTTATCGTATTTCCGTACCGACCTGTTTTTCGTTGATCGAAAACCAAAAAGTGTCGGGGATTTTCGTGGATGATGAAGTCTTTCGATGGCTGTCGTTTATTTTCTCATAGTGTCGTTCCTGTGGTGTCCGCTCTCTAGTCTTCGACTAGTTGTTGCATTTTGTGAGTGGCCGGGGCATTTTTTTGATGTCGTTGAAAATGCTGTTGAACGCTTCGCCAATGTTTTTACGCGATTGTAGGCCGCAAATGCGCTGTTTTTGAGCATACACCGCGTTTTGAATCAATTTTAGAGAACCTATCCGGCGTCAATGATGAACCACTGGGGATTTTCTTTAATTTAGTTCAGTAACCTTTTATACGCTTTTAAAAAGATGCTACTAATTTTTATTAATTTTTTGGCAGGTGTTGTTAACTTAGCTCATGTAATCTTCATTATGATATTCTAAGGACCGAATGCAATTAACTTACTGCTTATTTTGCACATCAGCTGGAAATCAAAATTTTGGGTCTTTTCAAGATTTTTGTTGTTGAAATAGCTGGATTTTGTGGCAGGTCTTGTTCACTTAGCTCATGTAATCTTCATTATGATATTTAAAGGACCAAATGCAATTAATCTACTGCTTATTTTGCGTATCAGTGAAATTCACAATTTTAGGTCTTTTCCAGATTTTTGTTGTTGTTGACATTTTCGGATTCTTCTAAATTTTGTGGCAGGTATTGTTAACTTAGCTTCATTATGATAATTTAAGGACCAAATGCAATTCATCTGCTGCGTATTTTGCGTATCAGCCGAAATTCGAAATGTTGGGTCTTTTCCAGATTTATTTTGCTGAAATTGCTGTGCGAAGAAATCGGTGCGGCCTATTATCGCGTAATCACTGTGTCAAGATAAATTCATTAGCAATTAGCATGTAATTGTTATCCTCGTATTCGTCAAAGAAAAAATCTTACTCGGCTTTCATTTTCTTTCAGTGCAATGCTTCGCGTTGAGATTTGAACGACGAGTGTGATAGTGTAAATCCAGCCCAGGAGAACAGCGCGACTTGGGGGGGAATCAGAAGCTGAAATAGAAGGATGAATAATAGAAGAGAATGACGAAAACTTGTGGCTTTTCTTTCTTTTCGTATCTTTCGTTCTCTCCCGTCATCGTGACGCGTCTAACAACGGGAAAATGCTCATGTTTTTTTCTTGTTTACGCATTTCTTCAAAAGCAGGACTGGTGTGTTTTTTTTTTTGCGAGACATGTCGGTGATCGTGGAGACGACGTTAGGAAGCATCACGATTGACCTGTTTTTGGAGGAACGACCGAAAAGTGAGCTGATGTGTGATTATCGAAGTTTGTTTTTTATCCTTTTTTGTTGTGCGGAGTGGACCATAAAAAAATGCGTCATAATTTTCAGAGAAGAGGCTGGCAAATTGAGTCAGAGGATTTCTAAAATGACCCTCGCAAGAAATTCCAATGACGCATTGGTGAAACAACGAGGGGTTAAGAAAAGTACTTCCATTTCTGAAATACATTAACTTGTTACCTGAATTCTCTCATTTTCTTCGTGATTTCGTCGGTTATTACGGTCAGGGATAATTAATTCCAGAAATTGACTTGATTTTTACTGCTGTGATGTTTTAAGGTAATTACAGTATCCATGCTCTTTCCATGTGCTAATCGTGATATTTTTTTTCTCCGAAATGCTGATCAGTCAAACCTTCTTGAATCATTTATGTAAAAAATTCATAGAATTTTTCCAATTTTGAAGAGACTGAAATTTTGAAATTCAGGAACCTGTAGATTCAAGTTTCAAGAATACGCATGTAGATGATTTTTTTATGAGTACTTTTTTTTATGGTTCAATCAATGCATTTGAGGCTATGAAATCTGACGTTATTGAAAAGAGCATCGAATAATCATCAAATTTAAGATGTTTCCGGAGGGTTAACGTTTTTTTTTTTTTAATGGGGATAAATATTTTTGGTTTACTTTCACTCCGTATGCTTGAGCAGGCTGTTTTTCTCGAAGACGGATTTGGATATGAGTGATTTTCAGTTGTGATGACGCTTCAGGGATTGAGACTGGGCCGTTATGTTGTATAATCTCGTGCTCAATATCTGTGTACTTGAGTTTCACCTTTTGTTACCGCATTTCTTCTTTTCTTTTTTGGCAGCCTGCCTCAATTTCTTGAAGCTATGCAAAGTGAAATACTACAACCTCTGCTTGTTTCACACTGTGGAACGGAACTTCATCGCACAGACCGGCGATCCGACCGGAACCGGTCGTGGCGGGGAATCTGTGTTCGGGTGAGTGACACAGTCAACATTTCCGTGTGTGAAATCTTTTTCTTATCGCATTTACCTTACAAAAGCATTTCATCGCATTTACTTTTGTGTAAAACGTCGTCATCTCTATCCCCCCCCCCCCCCTCCTCCCCGAAAACAAAGATAATTTTGCTTGAGTGTTTTTGTTGGTTTGTTATCGAAGTCAATTTATTCGAAATCAGAGGGATCCGTCAAATCTACTCATGCTTCATTAAACATCCCTACTACTTTTGCCGTAAAATAAAAAATATTTTTATTCGAAAGATTGTATTAATCAGAAGCAAGCATGAATTTCAGCTAGGTATTTTAAGACGCCATCAAATGCTGTATGAAGTAGTATTTACTCAAGTACCACGTTATCTTTATTAACACGCGCACTCAGTTTTTTTTTCAGCCTAAAATTTTGATAGAATGTTTTTCTATTGCAAGATGCGCACCCTGTTTTTAGTTACTGAGGAATTATAATACAGTACTGTATTTCGAAAGTAAGCCACACCAGAATTTGAATTTTGAATTGTTTTGAACCTAAATTCAATCAATTTTCATTCGTTTCAATTTTCAAAAAATTATGGTAAAATGGATTCTACATTCTAGTATGACGAGCACTCTTCCTTGTTTCCTCTGAATTATGAGAAAAAGATGCGCGTGGTACTTGAGTGAATATGGTACATAGCCAACCCTAATTGTTAATATATTTTTACTCAAGTAGGTTTTTATGTTCAAATAAAGAGAGCTAAATTTTTAAACAATTTTTTCGTTGAAGAATTTTTGTCCCAATATTGTGTTACCATTAAAATTAAACTGATTTCATAGTGGCATTTGAATTTTACAAATTTTAGAATGAGTTCTTCATGGCGTATTGTATATTTGATGATGCAAAGATGTCGGAAAATCTAATTAGCGCAAATATTGAGGATATTCAGGATTTTTTTTGGAAAATGCATTAAAATAATTGTTATTCACTGTTTTGTTGTTGTCCTTCAGGAGGTTGTATGGTGAACAAGCGAAGTACATCCAAGCGGAAACAAAACCGAAATTGAAGCATACCAAAGCCGGGATTGTTTCCATGGTAAACAATGGGGAAGGATTGTGAGTTTTATTCCATTGAGGAACTTTGATTGCTGAAGGCTTATTTTTTTCGCTCTTTAAAATTGCTTTTAAACTTGAAAATAACTGTATTTGAGGGGCTCATTGAGATTTTTGAGAAACGTTTCACCTCAAATTTCGGAATTAAATCGATGTTCGGTATACTGTATTATGAAACCTGAATGGTTGGAAGTTTATTTGAATTTTGACTGGGACTCCGAAGTTCCAACATACAGCTATTGTGTGTTCGATCGGTTCCAAATTTTATTATAGATTTTGGGTTTCGGCTGTAATAAAATGAAAAGCACACTTGAGAAATGAAGTGTTAGAACATGTCAGGAAATTCTTGTTGCGCCCAGGAGTCACGCCCAAATGCCATCATTGTCTTTATGTATACTCCGACAATGATTTATCGATCCATACATAAGTTCTTTTCTACGCAAGTCGTCCAAGATCCTTTTTCCGAAAAATCGATGCTATCAATAAGTTATTCCTTTGAATGAGTCAATCAATTGTCATGTCAAAAGTCAATTTATTCGACTATTTTTTTTAGGCATGGATCTCAGTTTTTTTTCACGTTGAGTGACAGCTTGGACACCTTAGATGGTGTACACACGATTTTTGGCGAAGTTGCGGAGGGTCAAGACATTTTGGAGAAGATAAACGAAATTTTGTGCGACGAACAGCACCGACCGTACAAAGACATCAGGTATGCGAGTAACTGAAGTAATTTTTTAAGTCGAAATTCGGTATTACCAATGGTAGTAAAAGTTCCGCAGTTGGGCCGTCATTTCAGATAGAGAGGAAATGGACGAAATTCTTTTCTGGACCACTAAATGACTTTCTTTTATTATAGTTTTGATCCAGTTTAATAATTGAAAAAAAAAAATCCATACCCAAACAATTTTTCGATTTTCTTTGAAACCACTGGGTTTTGTTGTGTTCTTTGTTTTAAAGACGACACGGAAACGGGGAAACGTTTGTACCATTTTTAATTTTTTGGGGAAGGTTTTTCTTCAAACAATGATTTACTCAGTTATAAAATGTGCAGGAATTTTACGTAATGAAGCTGTCTTTAGTCCCCGGAGATAAATTGATCGTCTTTCTAAAATGCCAGCCCAACAGCAAAAACTCAATTAAAGTACGGTGAACTCAAAATGTTGTATAGGAAACGCTTGATCTGAATTTTTTAAAATAACGTGAAGGAATCCTGGTCCACCATTTTACCTTCAACGTCAGATGAAAAACAGGGACTAATTCTGCATGAATTTTACCGGTTACTGATCGCCTGAAAATGGTTTCTTTTTGTTTGTTCGTAGAATTACGCACACAGTCATTTTAGAGGATCCATTTGACGATCCTCCGGGGTTGAAAATTCCCGACGCGTCGCCGGAAGTCACGGATGAAATCATAAAAGTGAGTGTAAAATGTTGAGCAACTTCCGTTGATTTTTTTCTTCATGTATTTTAAGCAAAATCAAAGTTTAAGGTATCTGTGGGCTGAATGATGCTATAATCTCGTGAGAGATTGTTCTCGCGAATAATTATTTAAAATTATTGTGATGGTCTTATGCAGTCATTGGAGCCATAACATTTGTCATTTTTGCGAATAGCTGTGTATGTTCTTCCATTGAAAGATATTTTTGTTTTTTCAATCATTACTTGATCCATGCGACATTTTTATGTAATTTTATAAGCTCACAAATGATGTTGGAGGAAGGTAAACTGGATTGAATTCAATCAAAGGAAAAATCCGGGAAAATCGCCGAGAAACTTTTTTACCACTAGCTTGATATTTTTTATCCTTTATCTCAGGTTTTATCAATTTGACATGACGTTTTTATCAATTTGTATACATTTTAAATTTTGCATGTAGGGTGGCCGGTTACTGGACGACGGTGAAGATGAAGGGAAAACTGTGCAACAGCTGGAAGAAGAGGCAGCTGAAAAAGAAGCCAGATCACGTGCCACAGTGCTGGAGATGATTGGAGATATTCCCGATGCGGATATTGCGCCTCCGGAAAATGTTCTCTTTGTATGCAAGCTCAATCCAGTGACGACATCCGAAGATCTCGAAATTATCTTCTCCCGTTTCGGTGATATTGAAAGGTTTGTTGGACAGAATCCCGGTTCTACTTTAATTTTTTGAAAGAACCGTCAAATTGATTATTGCCGAATGATTTTACATCATATATGGATTTTGCGTGATTTTCTGTTTCTTGATAGCTGTGAAGTGGTGAAGGACAAGAAAACGGAAAATTCTTTGCAGTACGCGTTTATCGAGTTCAAGAATAGCAAATCTTGCGAAGACGCGTATTTCAAAATGGACAATGTCTTGATCGACGATCGTCGGATCCACGTCGACTTCTCTCAGTCCGTTGCGAAGTACAAGGAGTGGAGAAGTACGTTTTCACATCGCTCAAAGCGCTCGAAAAAACGAACCAAATAATAAATTTTTTTTATAAAGTCAAACCTCGATAACTCGGAACATTCCTGTGTGTCGAGAATTTTTTTTTGTTGAGTCCCTGTCGGAAATTCCTTGGAAAACAGTGCATTAAAACCTTCTCAACTCAAAAGCTTTCCCGTTAGAACATCCATAACTTGATTTTCTGATTTTTTGGCTATTGTTTTATTGACAGAGGAAAAAGAAAAGCAAAAAAATGTAACGATGTGCTTGGAAAGGAAGTGAGAGAATAATTGGGCAAATGAATCCTTGCCTCCATTTTCAGCGCGTAGTCAATCAATTAAAAAAAAGCTATTTAAGGCACAGAATGTCACCAATTAAAATCCCCTGTAATTCTTATTCCTTTCCCCCTGAGAAAAACTGCTTTTTCTCTTAACTCGACACCATCCTGACTCGAATTTTTTTGCTGGTCTCTGGAAGTTCGACTGTACATAGATCTGCTTTGAAATTCGTCAAAAAAATTGAAATTCTGATCAAGGTGTTTAAAAGCAGATCCGGAATCGATCTCGCTAGTGATATTCTCCAGACTTATTCTTTTTCTGTGTTTCAATTTATACCCTTCAAATGATGACGGAACGGGAAGTTGTTATCCGCTGAAACTTTTCATTGCCATGGGAACCAACAGCGTCAACAAACAATCGTAAAAAAATCATCAGCAACAGACAAGTAAATTTTCGTTTCATGCTTCAATTTTGATTTCCTACCCGCCCTTTTTTCCATCATGTGAAAGCTTCCTAGGAAAAGATCGAGAAATTTATGTTTCAGCACAGTCTTATACAGTACATGAAAGCTAATGTTGGATTTACGATGGCAAAGTAAGAGTCCACTATGAAAGTATATGCAGTATACAGTATACTTGGATATTTTTGCAATATTTTTTTCGCTTACGTCTATGTAAGACCTTCAAATCTGACTAAAGCCTTTTTTTTTCTCCAGAGATATTCGGCACGGTACTGGCCATTCCCCTGAAGTTTTTAAAGTTGCCATTTTTGTAGTGGGTGTCCCGAAGCGAGACTGAACTGTAATTCAAGTCTCAAATTTTCGAAATCCAACTTTTTTGTTTCAATTTGAAAGGCCAAGAAGCTAATTTGTTAAACGCTTTCTCATTTCCAATACGTTTTAGTTGAAACGTGTTCCATCTCCTATTGTCCGATTATCGTTAACACGACGATCCAAAATATGTTCACTACGGTAACGATTTTAATTTTTCATCCAGTAAGTAATAAAATATTTTTTTGTTCGTTATCAAGCTAATTGTACGTGTTTAAAGTCGGAAAATCCCACTTTCCCTTTGCATGTCGGATCCAGTCTTATTGCAGTTGAAAAATCGAAATGGATTACTGTACCGTATTCTGAATCTCCCTTAATTTCCAGAAACACAATAAGAGGGTGGTACTATAGAACTCCAAAGAATCCGGGCTAATGAACAAGTTAATTTATTGCCAGGAGAATAAAATTCTGTTTCTAGAATGATGGAATATTATTTTTCGGCAAATCATCGAAGATCCAATATTTCTTTAAAAAAGCCGAAATGAAGTAACCTTTAACTGACCTCTTGGCCAAATGCAGTGAGTCCCCTTTTGGAATAAATGACACCCAAAAAATTTATAAGAAGGGAAAATGCCTGGCATTCAATATTTTTCTTGGTAAACGAGAATTTTATGCCAAGAAAGGAAATTCTTGAATATTGGTCAGCTTTTAGTCTAAATTTCGGACTTTGTTGAAGGAATAAAAGAGAAAAGAAGTTGAAGTTTTGCGTTCTCTATCTTGTGCAATTTGTTACTGTAATTTCAGAAAGTTAACAGCTCAAAATTCAAAGGATTAAATACATTTTATAGTAATCAATGAAAGGATAGAACTTTACTGGTGACCACATTTCCTTTAATAGCTTCGATTTTTTTAAAGTTGAAAAACGGTAATTTGTTGGAAGTTTATTATCCGAAGCCGAGTCCGCTATCCGAAGCAAAAGTCNATTGCCAGGAGAATAAAATTCTGTTTCTAGAATGATGGAATATTATTTTTCGGCAAATCATCGAAGATCCAATATTTCTTTAAAAAAGCCGAAATGAAGTAACCTTTAACTGACCTCTTGGCCAAATGCAGTGAGTCCCCTTTTGGAATAAATGACACCCAAAAAATTTATAAGAAGGGAAAATGCCTGGCATTCAATATTTTTCTTGGTAAACGAGAATTTTATGCCAAGAAAGGAAATTCTTGAATATTGGTCAGCTTTTAGTCTAAATTTCGGACTTTGTTGAAGGAATAAAAGAGAAAAGAAGTTGAAGTTTTGCGTTCTCTATCTTGTGCAATTTGTTACTGTAATTTCAGAAAGTTAACAGCTCAAAATTCAAAGGATTAAATACATTTTATAGTAATCAATGAAAGGATAGAACTTTACTGGTGACCACATTTCCTTTAATAGCTTCGATTTTTTTAAAGTTGAAAAACGGTAATTTGTTGGAAGTTTATTATCCGAAGCCGAGTCCGCTATCCGAAGCAAAAGTCACGCAGTTCTTTGTTCGTGACGTCCGTTATCCGGGAAACGTTTGTATTCTTTACTCAAGTACATTTTGAAGTTTGGAACCATGTGGAGGGCATGGAAAAGACGGGGTTTGCCGTCGGCAACCCTTCGTGACCCCCTCTTGTGGGTCGATGGTCGTGATCGATGACGTCTCCTCTCCCTCTTTCCTACCCCCCGCTTTCCGCCTCTTGTGTGCTGCATTCGGGTCGATGCTTTCGAGCGAGAAAACCCGAACCTTGGGAAAGGCAATTTCATTTCAGCGTTCCGTGCGGCAACTTGTGAAAAATAATACGGTAAAAAGGACGTCAATCAATCGGAAGAATATAGTTTTTATCGCAAAAGACTGCATTTATTTGATGAGCACTGCGTTGCTTCGGACTCATTCGTTCCTGCGGTGTTTCTGTGTGCACAGACAACGACCGCAAAATGGCAAAAAATTGAGCGAAACGAGAGAAAAAAGAAAAGTGGTGCTTTTGACTCTACTCTGTGCTTATGAAAGGATTCCGCAAAGGGGGAAAAAAGCTGAGAAATTGTTAGAAAAAGTATCCATTACTTGCGAAAAATGTCCGAGTCGGTTTTGCAATCGGAGACCGAAATACGTGATTCAACTTCAGGTGCGTGATATTTTTCTCGAAGAAGAAAAAGACGAGGTTTTCGCCTTGGGTGTGTGTCTTTGTGAGTGTTCAGTGTGATGGAACACGTATCTTAATTGCGTTCACCTTCTAATTCTTCTTCACAGCTTTGGTCAAACCTGTTCTGGGATGTTCACTTTCGATATTGGCTGGAGCAAATTGCACAAAAGTGAATAATGCTTGATTTGAAGACACGAAATTTACCAAATGAATCGTTGAGATGCGGAAGAAGCGCCTGGAAAAATTCAAAACTGTTTTCGTGGACAGAAAAAGGGATTTCCTAGCGAAAATGGAAATTATTCATCGCTTCAGAAAAAAAAATTTGAAGATTGGAATCGGGGAGAAACGAAAAAGCATGGAGATGGGGTTTTTCTTAGCCGAGGCAAACAATTTCCGGCAATTAATACCGGGCTTTCCTTGCACTCAAATTTACAAATTTCACTGCTTTTCACTTTTTGTCCGTGAAATTTTTTCGAAGTGTCTTTCGAAACTGTTGACGTGCTTCAATTTTTTTTTTGCATCATTCTTGTTTTCAGACATGAAGCGAGGAAAAATGGATGGAGGTGATGAAGACAAGAGAACTGAGAGACGGTCGCGATCACCGAAGCGCGATGATTCCAGGGCATCTAGTTACAGATCTCGAAGAACTGAAGACGGCGAAATTCGAACTTCGTCTCGATCTGAAAGAATGGTTGGTGATCTTTTGCAGTTTTCCGTATTTTTTTTTCTAAAATTTATTGGAAGTACCTTGAAAGAAGCCTTCAAAGATGCCGTATTTACCCGAGTACCACGCGCATTTTTTTTTTATTCAGAAATTCGGACCAGTAATTGGGCGACGATTTTTCCTGTCGATTTTTGAAAAAGATTTTGGTGTTCGCCATAGTAAAATCACAATATTTGAAGTTTTAAAAGAACCGGAAACTGAAATTACAAATGTATAGATTCAAACGAAAATTGAATTCCATTGGATTAAATCTCGGTTTAGAAAGAATATAAAAGATGTAGCACTTCAGATAAAAATACGAAACCGGCAGATAAAATTAAAATTAACATTTTATTTGAGTATGCGCCAAACTGCGAACGAACTTCCGAAGTTCGTGAAAAAAAATTAACTGGGATGCGTGTAGTACTTGCTTAAATACGGTTTTGATTGCCCCAAAATACTGTACGTGTTTTTTAAAGATTGTACATGAACATACATGAACGATTCAAATTTTTCAGGGAACAATTTTTCAAATCAATACATTATCTTCGTTATGATAACTGAGAATTCATCTCATTCATGAACTATCTCACACTTTTTTAAAAATTTTCTGCTTCTCCCTTGAAATTTTTTTTATGTACATAGAGATTTGTTCTGAGTAAAATTTGAGCAGGTCCTGACTAATGTTCCGATGTTTGATCATCAACGAAAAAATAAAATAATAATATTTTGCTAGTCTTCGTTTTGTTAATAACTACAGTGGAATCTCATTACAGCAAAGCGTTGGTAACCTTGAAAAAAGTTTCGATATATAGACGGAAATTCGTTGAAAATTAATTAAAATAGCATATTGGCTAATATGCAGTGATGAAAAAATGCATTGTAAACATTCATTCGTAATAACGAGGCTCTTTGTCGCGAGATTCTGATGCATAACAAATTTAGTTCATAACTTAACGACACTTTTTATGCGAGGGGTTCGTATTATGGCCTGAAAAAATGCTAAGAAGCTGAAAAATGCGCAAATACGACCTCAAAGCACACACGAGAACAACAGACACGCTACTCACACACATTATTGCTAGAAACCGAAAATTGTGTTTGGTTTTTTCTATCTTCAGTTTTTTTTTTATCTATAACACTCGGAACCTGATCATTTCTCTTTCCACACCGTGCATTTGTTATAATGGAACCCGAAATGTGATTCTTTTGTCATCCAATCAAGAGTACGAGTTCGAGGTCCAGCAGTAGGAGCGTGAGGGAACATTCCAGGGACCGAAATGTGTCTCGTCGGGATCCGAGGGATTCCCGCAATTCTCGGACCCACC